AAAACTTGAACTGGCATCAAATGTAGCAACAGTCACAAACAATATCTGATTTCACAGAATATACATAGAAAGTGCTTGAAGGCAACTGTGTCAAGATCCCAGCCAGTATATAGTAGTAGCTACTTCTAGGACAATATAGACTCCACCAGTTTCCAAGGTGGAGGAAAGGCAAGGACAAGCAGAAGCAGCTGGAGAAACAGAAGTGTTTTATTACCTCTGCAGCATCCTCACCATCTAAAGGTACAAGTGGGTTGTCTTTAGCAAATTACTCTTTCCTTATTTCACTTCACTCTGTGTAAAATGCAGGATTGCGACACTTAATCAATTAGTTGGCTAGACTAATAAAACAATTTGTGGACTAAAAAGGTGTTCCAATTAATTCAGTTGCAGATATTTAAAATATATTAATATTAAAAATTGAGATGATACGCATTATCTTGACAAAGGCATTCTCCTTTCTCCCTGTAGCAGGAGACAATGTCTCTTAAGATTATTACTTCTAAGACAGACAGATGAGACACAGATAGACACACCACTTAAAGTAAATTAACTGATGAATATCAGAATATCAGAATATTGGTTTTGTTCATATGCAAATGTGACTTTGACTGCCCAGCACTGTTAATTGACTACAATTCATATGATTAATCAGGTGTTCTTAATTTGGTGACAGTAGTCAAATTGAAATAATAACTGTAAATTTCACATTATTGAGAAGTATAATGAACAAAATTTATTACACTGCCTCCTAGATGCAGAAGTTGAACGTGACTGCCGGCGAAGACCATGTCTTCTCTAGTAAGGTAAAGATGTAGGTTACCTCCTGGGCCTCAGAGCTGAGACCATGTTCCAAGCTGATTGAACTCCTATATTTGAGAGGAGAACAACCAGTTTCTCTTCTTTCATTCTTGCAATGGAATTAACATCTGCAAATGAGCAGTGGCTGTGTTTCTCCTCTGGGAGCAGCAGCAGTCCTTACACAGTAAGGTAGATAGACTGAAAGCACAGAAGAGCATCCTTTCCTACATGGCCAATGAAGTGGAAAAGGTACGCACTGAAAGACAGCTAAGGTGCAGGCATGCTAAGATAGGAGAGCTTTGGTTGCACAGACTGGCAGAAGAGAGAGAGAGAGATTGAGCCAATCTCCTATCATTTTACATCCTCAAAAATAGCAGTGGCTCCAATCAAGAAATCACAACTGCAAAGGGGTCTAAGTGAAATGTATCCATAGACCCAAGGCAAGAGAATGAAGCAGGCTTAACACAGTCCAATATAGCAAAAGAGCTCATAACAGCAGTAGTTTAATCCTATAGTGGCATGGGCAATACCGAAATCAGACTGATTATATTCTCTGCAGCCAAAGATGGAGAAGCTCTATACAGTCAGCAAAAACAAGACCTGGAGCTGATTGTGATCATCAGCTTCTTATAGCAAAACTCACGCTTAAACTGAAGAAAGTATGAAAAACGACTGGGCTAGTCAGGTATAATTTAAACCAAATCTATTATGAATACATAGTGGAAGTGAAGAACAGATTTAAGGAACTAGATTTGGTGGACAGAGTGCCTGAAGAACTATGGATGGAGGCTTGTAACATTGTACAGGAAGCAGCAACAAAACCACCCCAAAGAAAAGGAAATCAAGACAGTAAAGTGGCTGTCCAATGAGGCCTTAGAAATAGCAGAGAAGTGAAACAAAATGCAAGGGAGATAGGAAAGGCTACAGAAAACTGAATGCAGGTTTCCAAAGAATATCAAGGAGAGACAAGAGGGCCTTCTTAAATGAACAGTACAAAAAATAGAGGAAGATAACAGAAAGGGAAAAACCCAGAGATCTGTTCAAGAAAATTGGAGATATTAAAGAAACCTTTTGTGCAAAGATGGACATGATAAAGGACAAAAATGGTAGGGACCTAACAGAAGCAGAAGACATCAAGAAGAGGTGGCGAGAATACACAGAGGAATTATATCAGAAAGATTTGGATATCCCGGACAACCCAGACAATATAGTTGCTGACCCTGAGCCAGACATCCTGGAGAGTGAAGTCAAGTAGGCCTTAGAAAGCCTGGCTAACAACAAGGCCAGTGGAGGTGATGGCATTCCAGTCGAACTATTTAAAATCTTAAAAGATGACTCTATTAAGGTGCCACACTCAATATGCCAGTAAGTTTGGAAAACTCATCAGTGGCCAGAGGATTGGAAAAGATCAGTCTACATCCTAATCCCAAAGAAGAGCAGTACCAAAGAATGCTCCAACTACTGTACAATTGCACTCATTGTACACGCTAGCAAGGTTATGCTCAAAATCCTACAAGGTAGGCTTCAGCAGTATGTGGACTGAGAGCTCCCAGAAGTACAAGCTGGATTTCAAAGGGGCAGAGGAACTGGAGAGACCAAATTGCTAACCTCAGATATGCAGATGATACCACTCTGATGGCAGAAAGTGAGGAGGAATTAAAGAACCCCTTAAGGAGGTTGAAAGAGGAGAGCACAAAAATGGTCTGAAGCTCAACATTTAAAAAAAAAAAAAGATCATGGCCATTGGCCACATCACCTTCTGGCAAATAGAAGGGGAAGATATGGAGGCAGTGACAGATTTTACTTTCGTGGACTCCATGATCACTGCAGATGGTGACAGCTACTACGAAATTAAAAGACGTCTGCTTCTTGGGCGGAAAGCGATGACAAACCTAGACAGCTTCTTAAAAACAGAGGCATCATCTTGCCAACAAACGTCCGCATAGTCAAAGCTATGGTTTTTCTAGTAGCGATGTATGGAAGTGAGAGTTGGACCATAAAGAAGACTGATCGCTGAAGAATTGATGCTTTTGAATTGTGGTGCTGGAGAGACTTTTGAGAGTCTCCTGGACTGCAAAGAGAACACATCTATCCATTTTGAAGGAAATCAACCCTGAGTGCTCACTGGAAGGACAGATTCTGAAGCTGAGGCTCCAATACTTTGTCGATCTCATGAGAAGAGAAGACTCCCTGGAAAACGCCCTGATGTTGGGAAAGTGTGAAGGCAAGAGGAGTAGGGGACAACAGAGGATGAGATGGCTGGACAGTGCCATTGAAACTGCCAACATGAATTTGACCCAACTCCAGGAGGCAATGGAAGGCAAGAGGGCCTGGTGTGCTCTGGTTCATGGGGTCACGAAGAGTTGGACATGACTTAACGACTAAACGACAACAACAACCATGGGCAAAAGGTGGAGTGCTAAATACAAAAGAGGACAACAGTCCTCTACCTTGAACAATTATGTAGAAAAAGGATTTTCTGCACATCTATACAGTGCTGTGTGACAAACAAGATGCCCACTGTAAATTCCTCTTGTCTCTTGCATTTGTCTAATCTAGCACAAGAGACCTGGCAAAGGCTAGAGTAGCTAGAAATATACACTGAAGTGTGTGCCTTCCACAGCATGAAAACAAATGAAGATGTCCCGTTTTTGACAATTGGTTTGTGTCACTTTGCTTCCACCTAGAGGTCTAGCTCCCTATCTTTCTCTGTTTTGAGTTGTCTCCTAAACTTCCTTTTCATTCAGCAGCAAACCGCAGTCCACTGGAGAGCCTCCCATACCTTCTCAAACACTTCCATAGTGCAGAATCGATCTTAAGCATGTTTAAGTGGGTGGTGCTCTGCACTGCCAATGAATGTATCTTTCTAACATAACACATCTCTCCTGACAGATGCATGTACATATGGAGAAAAGTATAACATGCAACACTGTACACTTATCCAGGTGCTGCAGGTACCTTCACCCAGGCAGGTTGGCGAGCCACGTACTTGTCAGAGATATGCAGCCGTTCCAACATTTACCTTTTCAGCCTAGTACTTGCTACTGTAATACTTCCCCACAGGATACACAGGGCCAAATTCATATGATTAAGAAAATAAGAACATCCTTGTTGTAGCAAACTGAAGGTCCACCTTATTTGGCATCTTACTTCTCATAAACTAAACAGGACATGAGGGCACAGCCTACTCCTAGTCTTGCTTTCCAGCAGCTGGTATTCAACAACATTCAAAGGTTCTATATAGCCAGACTAAGCAATACAAATTGATAAACTTTTTCTCCCTGAATTTGTCTAATTCCTCTTTAAAGCCATTTTAGTAGCCATCATCGTATCTTGAAACTCTGGATTCCACAAATTAATCTTGCACAGTATGCAGACAAGCTTGCTATAAGCTCCCAACACCACACCTCATTAATCTTTGTTGGATAAGCTCTTTCAAGATCACGTGGGCCAATGAATGAAGCAAGCAACCCTCCCTATGAGGAACCACCATTAAAACCAGTCACACTTTGCTACCAACCAAGGAAAATGGCACACTGCCATGCTAAAATCAATCATCAGGCACACTAGATTAAGCTTTTGCCCTTTGGGTGACCATAAAAATGTCTACATTCTGCCCTCATCCCACCAAGACTTCAGTCATAGGACCGCAAAGGCTCAGTCAAGGACAGGAAACAATGAAGAGTCTTGGCATCTTAAAGACTAGCATTTTATTTGGCATAGCTTTTGTAGACTTTAGCTTGCTTCTTCAGATGACTCTTCTTTCTAAAGCTCAAAAAACCTTTGGCAACAACATATGCCAAATATAATTTGTTAAGCTTTAAATTGCTACAAGACTCTCATTCACTTTTGTTGCAACAAGCTTAACTGTAGAGATGGAGGTATTCATGTTCATATACAAACACGAATACCCCTGCACAGGTGGACATAAGGGTCCAGCTCTGTGGGACTGGAACATCCACTGCTGCCGCTGGCTCCGCACTCCCTTCCAATTGCTCCAGAGCTCACAACTGATTAGCCACTCCTGGCAGAAGGAGGGAGGAAGAGCCTCCCTGCCAGACTGACAAGTGACTAGTCGACAGCAAGCTCTGGAGTGATTGGAAGCGAGTGTGGAGCCAGCAGCAGCAGTGGATGGGTAAGTGGACAGTTATGTCCACCTGTGCAGGGGTATTTGTATTCACCTATGAATACAAATACCCCCATCTCTACTTAATAGGGTTACCCTCGTACCCTACCCCTTTCCCACATTAGGATAACCAGGAACTTTTATATCATTAAGTAATTGCACTATACCAGAACTATGCTCTTAATCTTACCATTCTGAATATGTCTTTAAAATTGTTATGAGAATATAACTGTGTCTTTCAGCATATGAAAGAATACTCAGTGCCCCTATTAACAGCTTCTGAATTCTGTTCAGGACACTGAGCAGGCAAAATTCATACACACACTTCAGAAAGCAGGCTGATGTCCCTGGCACATACAAGATAATTATTATTTTGGCTGTTTGCAGGAAAACTGCATTCTCACATTCCCTCCATCCAAGGAAAGGCAAACTAATTTAAATGCACTATTGGGTCTACCAGTAGTGCAAAATTTAAATGCACATCTGACAATCAGAAGTAGCATCCTCAACAATACCACTTGAACACGTAGATCCACAAACAATAGATGTCATTCCACTCTCCCCACAGTATGGTTGCTTTGCACAATGTATTTCTTTCCAAAACAATATTATACAGTTGTGCAAATACTGCAACCGAGACTTAGGACAGAACAGTAACAAATGCACATGTTTCTGTCTCCTTGTAAAGGCTGCAGAAAGGTTTGGAAACAGATTGACAGAACGCCTGACATGTGAAAGCTTAAAAAAAAAAAAAAAAGGCAACTGTCAGCCAAGTATTTTCTACCTCTGTCCCCAAAAAAGCTTGAACACTATCAAGGTGGCAGTCACTGAAAGCAGAGTACAACAGAATGGGTGAAAATTCACTGGCAACATTAGTTGCTAAACACTAATGCATCTTTGTTGGACAATTTGAACCTGATCAAAAAATAAATTATATATTTCCCCCAAAAAAGAAACAAATACTTGAATTCTTCAAAATCATGATGAAGATGTCACAGAAAACAAATACTGGGGCATTTCCAGCAAGATTTGTGGCCAGCCTGCTGAACAAGTAGAAATCCCCAGCACAATGAGGTGGATTCCATAAATAATTTTACTCAAAACATAGCCAGAGAAATGTTGACAGCAGTAGCTGCCTCACATGAAGCAGGGAATTAGGAAAGTCAGTAGACCTCTCAGTCAGTCCATCTAGGGCAAAGAGAGGTCACAATACCTTTAAGTTATAGCAGCACCAACAACAGACAAGTCTTGGATGGACTCGAGCTCCACAAAGGAGCCATGGCTGGCACAGAGAAAGAGTAAGTGCAATGCAACGTCCAGTGTCCCATGGGACCAGGCTCCATTTTGCACACTGATATATTCTGTGTGATTCTCAGTCTTTTTGTACACAAGAATATGCCATACATTCATGCACTACCACCTCTGGCCCGGATCCTGTTCCATTTGGCACAATTCTGTTTTGTTCCGCTGGCCTATTTTTGTTCTCTTCAGTGATTTTCCAACTCCAACACTGCAGCGCCTCCAATCCTGAGTGAGGGACCTGCCCCCTCAGGCCAATAACCTTTGCCCCCTAGGCCAAAAACTGCCAGCCCTGAGAGAGGCAGACAAAGCAAGCCAGGGAGACTTTCCAAGGGCACGGTGCGTCTCTAAGAAGCTGGGATTCTTGCCAAAGACCTCTTGCCGCCCTTGTTCTCAGCTGTATGTGTATGGCTATGCCCTTCAGCACAGTGGCTGTGCCTCTCAGATTCCACTGGTGAGGTCCGTGATTACTCGTGCTTTCACCAATTTCCGTAGGAATTCCTTCTCCCGCTGAATGTTGTGTGTCCATGACTGTAAAGGGAAGGGCAAAGAGAAGATAAAACAAAGAGAAGATCAAACACTATCCTGCAAGTTCATGCCTATTAGCAGTTTTAGATTAGCAGTTTTAGGATTTGGAGAGTCCAGGTCAACAGATTGCTTTAATAAAAGTTCCCACCCTTAAAAAAAAGAGGGTGGGGGGGAGAAGCATTCTCCTATATGTCTAATAAAGATGTGAATTATAATCTGTCTTCACTACATAGGAACACAGGCAGGAAACGACTTTGCCAAAGGAGCTCTCTTAGTCAATCTAAAACTAATAAGGATGAGACAAAGTCAGTATGATAAAGGGAGATACTCCAGCCATAGGGTACATACAGAGTTCATATACTATGGGTTACATATTCTTATACCATGGATTATTTCCTCAAACGAACAAAAAAGTGCTTCAAATGTTAAAATCACCTCTTAACATGCTGATCACCTTTATGTTCCTATAGAGGTTTAAAAGAGTAGCAAAATAGTGCACTTTTCAGTGCATGACTAGCAGCTGCAAGACATTTTTATTTAAGTTGGCTTTCAGTTGACTAGATGACAAAGATCATTTTGAACTAATAGATCTGAAGTAAAAACCAAAAACCAAAACCCAAGTTTATGCAACAACCTTCAATGCTGAAGAGGCTGAAATTGACCAATTCTATGAAGACTTACAACACCTTCTAGAACTGACACCAAAGAAAGATGTTCTCATTTTAGGGGACTGTATAGCTAAAGTAGGGAGCCAAGAGATAAAAGGAACAACAGGTAAGTTTGGCTTTGGAGTTCAAAACAAAGCAGGGGAAAGGTTAATAGAGTTTTGTCAAGAGAACAAGCTGGTCATCACAAACACTCTTATGTTGTTGGAAAAGAGGCAACTCTACACATGGATATCTCCAGATGGGCAACACTGAAATCAGACTGATTATGTTCTCTGCAGCCAAAGATGGAGAAGCTCTATACAGTTGGCAAAAACAAGACCTGGAGCTGATTGTGGCTATGATAATCAACTTCTTATAGCAAAACTCAAGCTTAAACTGAAGAAGGCAGGATAACCACTGGGCTAGACAGGTATAATCTAAACCAAATGCCTTATGAATAGACAGTGGAAATGAATAACAGATTTAAGAAACTAGATTTGGTGGACAGAGTGCCTGAAGAACGAAGGATGAAGGCTAGTAACATTGTACATGAAGAAGCAACAAAACCATCCCAAAGAAAAGGAAATGTAAGAAAGCAAAGTGGCTGTCCAATGAGGCCTTTGAAATAGCAGAGAAGAGAAGGGAAACCAAATGCAAGGGAGATAGGGAAAGTTACAGAAAATGGAATGCAGACTTCCAAAGAATAGCAAGGAGAGACAAGAGGGCCTTCTTAAATGAACAGTGCAAAAAAACAGAGGAAGATAACAGAAAGGGAAAAACCCAGAGATCTGTTCAAGAAAATTGGAGATATTAAAGGAACCTTTTGTGCAAAGACAGACATGATAAAGGACAAAAATGGTAGGGACCTAACAGAAGCAGAAGACATCAAGAAGAGGTGGCAAGAATACACAGAGAAATTATATCAGAAAGATTTGGATATCCCGGACAACCCAGACAATATAGTTGCTGACCCTGAGCCAGACATCCTGGAGAGTGAAGTCAAGTAGGCCTTAGAAAGCCTGGCTAACAACAAGGCCAGTGGAGGTGATGGCATTCCAGTCGAACTATTTAAAATCTTAAAAGATGACTCTATTAAGGTGCCACACTCAATATGCCAGTAAGTTTGGAAAACTCATCAGTGGCCAGAGGATTGGAAAAGATCAGTCTACATCCTAATCCCAAAGAAGAGCAGTGCCAAAGAATGCTCCAACTACTGTACAATTGCACTCATTGTACACGCTAGCAAGGTTATGCTCAAAATCCTCCAAGGTAGGCTTCAGCAGTATGTGGACTGAGAACTCCCAGAAGTACAAGCTGGATTTTGAAGGGGCAGAGGAACTGTAGACCAAATTGCTAACATGTGCTGGATTATGCCAGAGAGTTCTAAAAAACCATCTACTTCTGCTTCATTGACTACGCAAAAGTATGGCAGAAAGTGAGGAGGACTTAAAGAACCTCTTAATGAGGGTGAAAGAGGAGAGCG